TTGTACTGAATGACTGGAGGCAAGTTGTACAATGGTAAACTGTTCTCTGCATGGACATTAACAATAGTACCATGTATGACTTTGGACATTACTGTGGACATAGTATGCATGTGGTTAAGATACAGAATTAGATTAGGGAAAGTTGGGTTCTGTTCCTTGTGCTGCCAGATTTTCTATATGACTTCAGGTAACTTTATTTCTTGATTTACTATTCAGAAAAACACAGATGATAAAAATCTCACAGTAACTGCTTATGGCTAAATTCCTCCATATAAATACAAAAAAAACATAATACTGCTCACTGGAGGTAACTTTTGAACTCAACACTTACATAATTATTCTCATATATACATTTAAAATTACAGTCTATGCACCTTTTGGATGGGAATGGAAAGGAGGAAATGCAGAGACAGTATCAGCTTCCTCTCTGTCTCTCTGTCTCTCTCTCTCTCTTCTCTTTCCCCCCTAATTCTAGCCTTTCCATAAACTTCTGCACTGTAAACTCATTTATACTGTTACCTTCTAAAGCAGTAGTATTAACCACCACCTACTTTATATAGTTATAGGTGAAATATTTCCTCAACCCTTAGTGTAAGTTCTTTTCCTTTAAGTATTATTATTTGTATTACAATAGTGCCTCGTCTCCATCTGAAAGCAGAGGCCCATTTGGTAGACTTACATAGAGCTTATATAGATGCTGCCCCAAAGAGCTTCTAATATAAGCAGACAAGCCAGACAAAGCATGTAAATGTAGGTGGAGGCAGGGATTTTTACTCTTAATATTAATGGGCTCACTGGTATCCTAGGTTGTGCTTGAAGATTTTCAATTTTATTTCTGTGCTATACTAATCAAATTCATCTTCCTTGCATATGGAGTAATAAGAATAAAAATGCAACAAGCCTAAGAAAGGACTGCTTAAGTGGAAATGTGGAATGAGTTTAAATGTGTCAAAAACAGTCTTTCTGCCCTGATTATGGTGAAGCTTTAGTCACTTTCCTGAAGGGGCCTTTAGGATGCAGGATTGTGTCACTTAATCTCTTAGCCATCAGTTACAAAAAGGGATAAACTAGCCACAACAAAGCTATTTTGGATTATGTATCTCTGGTCCAGCCAACTAAAATTGAAGGACACAAATCAGTGGACTTCAGTGGAGTTGTGATCACTTGCTCCATTCATTGATTTAGCCCAACATTTAGGGACTTACCAATATCTTCACCTGGATCAGACAAGCCTCCTGGAAATTTCCATGCATTTTTAGTCTATAATGGAAGAGGAAATTATTAACACAGCATACAGCCTATTTTGTACTCGCTAATAGAAAAAGACAAAACAATTCCTAGAATTTTTAGTGAATTTTTAAAGTGTTGACATGTTAATTACTTCTATAATTGTCAGTAGGTTTTAAATAGGAACTTCTCTATTTTTGCTAATGTGATCATCTAAGACAGCTACCTGTCTATATGAAATATTGGAAGAAAACATCTACTGAATGAAAATATAAACTGTCTAACACACATTAGACAAAGTTGCTGCTAGAAAACTAGTTAAAGAAGCTGCTATAGGTAGATATAATCTGTATACTCTTGTATTTAATCACTGATGTATTCTACTTCAATGTTTTTGGCTTTTTTAAAGAAACAAAATGTATATATTTAATCTTCCAAATAGATTTTATGATTGTAGTACTGTTCTATACTGCACTGGCTGTAATGATTATGTGTGTTTGTAATAACTGGTTAATGTAACCTGTCATTTTGTTTTATATGGAATAGAAAAAATAAAATTTGAGGCCTTTTGTGTGTTAATTTTATATAGAATCATTTCCTGAAGTCCCTCAGAATCAAGCTGAATAATAAGAGTGTGAATTGAAGCCTCTGTATTGTACTGAACACTGACAGTGCCATGAGCCTGCAGCCCTTACATACAAGAGGAAAGGCTAAAGGATGAAATCCTTAGTCTCTGTACACTTTTGTCAGAAACCAAACAAACTAGTCAGGAAAATATTACCAGGGTGACCTTCTAAACTGTACATTCTCCTAAGGGGAAAAAAAAGCTTTTCCTACATTTAGAATCAAGCAGCTGTGTGTTTCCCTCTCACTCCAAACCCCACTGATTACATTGGAAAACATTCTTTCTGGGCATTCTTCAAGGGCTTGGACAAGACATTATATTAATTAAGAAAAACAAAACTGCAGATGGAAAAAGTATATATTTGTCCACTGGATTTCAGGTTTTGTTTTCAATTCCTGGAAATGTCTCTCTGTGTACTCTGTAACTCTTCTTCCATGACACCACACAAACAGCTCTTAATATGTTTTGTCATCACAGTAGACTGTATAAATCACTAATGCAAACATACTTGACATTTTTTTCCAAACCCTTTATGGTATCAAATTACTTAAGTAAAGCAGTCACCATACTGCAAAAATGTCACATTCTGGGGGGGAGAGAAAAACTTGTAGGGGAATATGTCCTTTGGCTAAATTAATTTTGCTTGTACTGAGATGTTTTGTTTAGATTGGCCATCTTGTGGGCTAAGATCAAGTTGGAGCATCCAAATCTCAAGATCTCCGGCCTTCGGCTTGTATGAAGGATACCAGACAGTGGACTTGGGAGTAACTGAAGTCGTGACAGCCTGGGGCAGAGGATGCTTGCCAGTTGTAGTGCCATACGTGGTGTTTAGAATGGTTGAGTTCTGCCTGCTCAATCAAAATGGTTTTTGTAATGACTGAGTTCTGCTCAATTGATATGATTTGGAACTGATTTTGCTGATTTGATCTGGAATACAAAATATATTTTTAAAAAAACTGGTCATTGTAACAGCATATATATTATTAATACCTTCAGCTTTTGTACTTAGTGGGTACGTCTACACGTTGCCCCATGGTGATGTAGCGATGCGCTATGTTTCCATATGCTTGCTACGGCGATGTAGCGATCATGTGTATCTAAACGTGATCCTCAGCTATGTCACTGTAGCAGCATGCTCCCCAGGTATAGTGCACTGCTATGGTGACATAGCAGCAAAATTTAACTGTGCACAACCCACACGGTGCAGTAACTGCTCATACAGTGCTGTGCTTTAGTACTTTCAAAAGGAAGTACTAAAGCATGGTGCCATAGCAACATCTCCATACAGCGACCTGTAGATGTATCCAATGCAATGTACCCACTAAACAGGACCATAGAGAAGAAGGTACTCAACATAATATATTTTGTTTTCCTCTTCCTCACCAATTGCCCTCTCGTTCTGGCAAGGAGTAGCTGCCCCTGGACATTGCTCACTCCACATTCAGTAATTCTGAATGCCTTTTATGGGCTAGTGATGCCGGGTTTACTTCTCAAGATAAACATGCTGCCCCTATTATATCCCCTAGTGTAGGCTACCTACTTATACACCACAGTGTAGTTAAAGGTGACCGACAAACGATGAGGCCTCACTACCATCAGCAGCATCTAACACAGTGTATACTGTGGAATAATGTAGCAGAAAGCCCCCTTTTCCTCTTGCCTGCATTTGCTCTCCCCTCTTTGGATATGTTTCTCTTTTTCTACCTTTTCTTCCTTCCTCTCTCTTTCACTTTAAGATAAGGAATTGTGTTTTAAAATTTGTATGTGTGCATTTTGTATCTCCCCTTGTAGTTTGGTATTTTTATCTATTTGTGTGCCATGGCATTTGTAGCTTATATTTTATACTCCTCACCTTTCAATTTTCAACTGAATGTGTTTAGTTTCATAAGTAAATTATACATTGTAACAATGTTAACAAGGGCAGGAATCAAACTGCTCTTCCCTGTATCAGGCTGGCCTCTGAAAGAGTGAGTGAATCAGTGATTGAATGTGTAACATAGTAGTAGGCAGCAATTATCACCTGGAAGCTGCAGATCAACCAACGGAAGAACTCAATAGAAGACAATGTAACAACCGGGAAATCTCTAAACATCACTGATCAAGGGCTAGAAGCCCTGGTCTGAGTTAATCAACACCAGGGACCAACTTTTGGGCTGAGTATCTCCAGATCAACCGCTCCCAGAGCCCTATTCAAAATTCATCAACAGACTCCCAAACCTGCACGTACATGCAGATGACCCCTGGGGCTGACAGATGCTGTCCAGTAGCCACCGAGGGGGGGGAAGTCCCACGAGGGTCAATGACCCCTGGATTGGGCAAACCTGAAAACTGGGGAGTCATCAAAGTCTGCCAGGGACAGATAAAAGGCAGTGAAAAGTGACCCTCAGTGGTGCCCTCTTGATCTCCAACTCGACCAGACCTGTCCAGCCAGAAGGACCAGCCGGCGACCCCCTTCTGGAAGATAACACCACGCTGAAAGAAGCCTCAACGACAGACTCCAGCGCTTGTAGGATAGGTATACCTGACTCTGTAGCCTGCTACTGTGTGTGTGTGTGTGTGTGTGTGTGTGTGTGTGTGTGGGGACCAACCTCAAGGTTTATGATTACAGTGTTTCAATCCGCCTAATAAACTAGAATTTTAAGGATCCCGAGTTGGACATTTGTAGCCAACAATTGTAATAAATTAGTTTTTGAAATGGGGTGCTGCTCAGTTCACAACAGTTATGGAGGTGTGCCTTGAGTTTTATGGGGGATGTCTTGAGGCTGAAAAGTTTGAGAACCACTGATCTATAGGAAACAAACTTCAGGACCCTCTGTCTGGCTCTTTAGGCAGCAATGTGTTATGTAGCCTTTAAGTGCAAGACTAGATCAAGTCTTCTGTATTTACAAGTGGCAGTTGCTGAAATGTTAACAGAAAAATGAGACAGGATGCCAGACATAAGTATACAATATTCCTTCATGGTTTCAGGAAACCGTTTCTTTTCTTCGTTTGTTACAAATGTAAAAGATTTAAGGATTTGCTGCTTTTGGGAGGAGGGGGGAAGGGGGGAGAGGGCGTGTTGTTTTTTTGAGAGCTGGCTATTTCCTATGTTGCCTTAAAAGTAAGCATGCACACATGTATACACAGGCCAACTAAAAGTAAAATAAATACATTTCTAAATTGGTATAATTGTATGGTGTTTTCTTCTTTTACTTATACTGGAAAGTTTCATCTAGAATTTAAGCCAGTTCTGGAGCGTATATTCTTCATGCCAAATTTATGCATTAACTGACAGTTACCCAAAAGGAGCCTGGAGGCCCTGTTATACAGGAGTCTTTACAGTTTTGCTGTACCACAAGTTAAAGTACAAAGTTAATACTTTACAGGAAATAGCAAAGGGGTGCTCTCTGAATTCTTGCATTACAAATTCAGAATATTTTATAATTATGCCTGCCTTTGAATATACCCTTTCATTAAAGTTGATTAGCTGTTCTGGAGCAAGCTGTGAGCTAAAGTAAAGTTTAGATTGGTTGCTGAGAATAAATCTGTTAGTAGTTATTTCACTGAAGGGGGAAAAATATAGCTAGGGAGAGGCTGGCTTAGATCTAACTACAGAAAATATATAATTGAATGCATCATTTTCTATCTTTGTGTTGCCACTTACAAATTATTTAAACATTCCTTCTGTATCATTATGGGGAATATCTTCTGCTCCATTAGAGGGAGATGCTTAAATTTGCAAAGGATTATTCAGTTACAAAAGAAGTAATTTTTAATTAAAATAACTTCAGTTAAGTTACCAGGCTTAACATACCTTCATGAAGCAAGAAATGGTAGAATGACTCAGGAGAGTGATAATGAGCTAAGCAACATTTTGCCACTTGGTCAGTGGTTAGATTGATAGTGACTGGAAGCCATTACGATGTGATGGATATTTTGCTTTCCTCAATCCAGTACCACATCATAAAAACCACCATCACCACAGCTAACACTCTTGCTTAGCAGTTTCAGTTAGGAGGCTAAGCAGTAAAGTTTATATGAAAAATTAACTACCTTTACACCTGTAATTGTGGTCCTTCTAGGTCATGATGAAGTGTGTTACTTATTAAGTCCCACAGATACATCTGGCACTTTACAAAGCAAACAAAAATCGAATCCCTGCCCTAAAGAGCATACTTGGATTCACTGAGGTTTTACTGAAGTCTGCATGAATCTAAAGTCAGGATCAGGGCCTAAATTAGGGCAATAATAGAGGACAATAGAAAATTGTGAGAGAGGAGATTCAGATGGTAAATACAGTATGATCACGAAATGCTTGGCTTGGGGACTAGAGAATTACACTCTGCTTTTTAATGGGGAAGGGGATACAGTAGGACCATTTTTACTGGCAGGGTCACGTGGGTGCACTTGCATGTCTGATACTCATGCTGAAACTTATGTAGCTGTCAGTCTAATATTAGTTAAGTACTCCTAATCAACGGTAAGGAAAAAGCCCGCACACCAGGAAGTGTTTCTTATGGGAATGCTTAGGCCTAGCAAGAAACTTTAAATTGATTTCTCTTCTTCTCCCCCTTCAGTGGGAAAAATGTAGCTAACTTGGGCATTCTGTAGTAATCATCTCCATTCCACCTTTTTTTGGAGCTTACACATGAAATTGTTTGTTAAAATAAAGAACAAAACAAACAAAACTTTCTACTTGGTTCCACATTCTGAAAAGATTGATGCATATGCAGAATTTTTACCTGAACAACCTATGGAAATCAAGTTATGACTAGCAACCTAATGGATAATAATACCATAATTAACTAATAAGTGCTAGTAATAACTAATGTTTCTTGATAGACTAAGTATGTAAATGGGAACATTTGCTGAAATTGCGATGTCTTGCAGGACTATGGTTTATGATGGGTAAGTAAGTTCTAGATGAAGTCAGGAGACCAAAAACCTGTTATGCTGATCTCTATTGGTTTAGAGAATAAAGAAAAAAATTCTCTCTTCTCATAAAGAGACAAAATTGTGTCTTAATGGAATGATTCTCAAATATTTCTACAAAGTGTTGCCAGATAGCCTGATAAGGGTTTTCAAAGGCTGCACAGGTAGAAAAGGAGAAGCTTGACAAAGATCGTCTGTGGCCCCTTAGGAGAAATGTTCTATATCCTTGTTCCAACTGCCTGTCTCCCTGGTCATTAAACTGCCTTTTTTTTCTTGCTTCAGCAATCCCAGCAAGCTGTGTCTGCCAATGATTTCTCAAGGTGCCAACGACAGCGTAAACAGTTTTGAACAAACAATATTTGACCTATTGAAGACTACTGCTCTCTTCTTTACAGCAACCTTAATTATTACTGCTGTCTAACAGCTAGAAAGCAGGCAGCTTCCTTTAAGGCAGACATATTATTCTTAGGTCTGCTTCTGGGTGTAAACTTAAGTGTTCAGTACATTTTACTTTGTTACCTGGCTGAGACCTTTTCAACATCAATTTGATTTTTTTTTTTTTTTTTTTTTTTTTTACAATCAAATTATTGTTTTGAAGCAGGTATGCAGAAGATTTTTATAAAACTGTATACTGGGCATGAACCATTAGGTTGGAATAGAGTGTCTCCTTGATAGAATGTCTAATTAAAAATGAGAAATCTTCAAACATGTAGTTTGATGATGCCAATATGGCCAGTTTTAGATGCAATTTGATTTTTGCAGAATGCAAAATTTATATACAAGGTTATTAATATTCACTTTGATATTACTATTTTAAAATGGTATTGGTTCAAATACGTGTCTTGAGTGTGCAGTACGATAAAACCATCTATAGGCAACACTTTCTAATGCCTCTTTCTTTTCCATACCTTATTTCAAATTCAGTCTGAAAGAAGAGTAAGACTTATTTCAAATTTCACTAAAACGCTCCATATTTTAAAATAAACATATATATGTTAATTATCAAGTCCATGTGATCAGTTTTAATGAGGACAGAAACACAAATAGATTTTAATGGACAATTGTCTAAGTAACATGCAAAAGTTCATGTAATTGGTAGGAATCTGCTTTTTCTTAAACTCACTTCCATTTTAAAATGATGAAAAATAAACAGTACCATTCTACGTTTAGAGTACAGCAAGTCAGCCATATCAGGCAGCAGAATTCCCCTTCCTTTAGCCTATCTGTGTCCCAACCTAAACATTGTTTCAGCATGGTTTTCTCCTCTGAGTTTCCAAATTTTAGTAGAGTGCAATTCCTCCATTCTTGTGTCAATTCATAGTTGGCTGATCACTAACCTGCTAGATAGGATGGCGCCAAGTTGTTGCATCAATTTAGAGTCTGGGCAGTCTCTGTTAAAATCCTTGATGACATTTTATTTGAAAAAATAATTGATGGCCAGTAGGGCATTTTCAAATCTTTATCTAGACTACTTTTTCCCCAAAATGCCAGAAGTGACTACACTACATTGTACTAATGGGATCCTCATGTATTATGGAGTAAAGAGTGGAAGGTCCCAAACTTCATTGGTTCAAGTTCTTTCTCCTTAGAAAACTGTAATAAGTTAAAGGATGAAACATACAGTGTACCTACTGCTAGTAGTATGTGTACCACAGTTTGAAAATACCATTTTTTTTAGATATATATATATATATATATAAAAGGTAAAATCACAGGAGTAAACAGATTAGTATTGTTTCCAAAAGTGAAGGACGTTATTCCCACCTTCCAGCCACCAAATCTGCTCATAACTTAATGTAATATGAACCTGAAAAATGCCCCAAAATAACCAAAGGAATTCCATGTAAAATCATGAAAGCGCAGCAAGACAGTCAGAAAATATCAATCCCTGCTGCAAATACCCTCCCCCAGTCTCAAAGGGTGCTTATACACGACCAGCAGCCTCCTGCATCTCATGCATTGGTGTCCCTGTGCTTCAAAATGGTGGCAGGGACGCTTGCAGCACCCCACTGCCATTTTGAAGCACAGGGATGCTGATACATGAGACATTGTGGTGCTTTAATTAAACCGGCTCTCAGAGCCACTTTAATTAAAGTGCCACCCCCCCTACCTCCAGAGCACATGTAAAAATGCCCATAGGTCTTATCCTGGTAAACTGTAACTGATGTGAATAAGATACCTACATATGTGGTTACATTACTGCAAAGCTACCTTTAAAAGTGGTCATTTCTCAAAAAATAATGACTGTCATTATTTCCTATTTATTTGCTTATTGTAATAGAGCAAAAAATGGGCACAGGCAATTAAATCTGTCAGTAGGCAGACGTTACATGCCAGCATCCAAAACTTTGTTCCAAAAATGCTTGTTCAGTTCCCAGGTTTCTCCTACCTTGACTTTGAACTTTCCTATGTGCTTGCAGTTCAGTTTCTGGAGAAGCCTTGAACTGCCCTGGTGTGAGCATCTAGGCACCTCTGGGATCCAGAAATTAGGTGTGCAGCTATTTTGGATTTCTTTCTCAAGGCTTCTAGTTCCATCCACGCACTGTATAAGGAACCCAAGCTCCTAACTCTCAGTTTTGGATTTTGTTCTGTGGGCCTGATGCCTAAAAAAGAGGTGTTGCAGTGGCAAACTAATTGGTACCTAAGTCCTTTACTGGACCTAGTCCTACATTCTTTCATAACCTTTGAGCAGCCCCCTACTCCTGGGAGTTATGTCTTTGAGGAATACATCAGTACAACACCCTCCAGCACACTGTGTGAACCTGACTGATCATTAATGAAGGCAAACTGGAAGTGTTAAATAGTTTGGTGTGTTCTAACTGTTGCTCTGGTCTTTTACTGATTAAACTTTCATTTTTTCACCACTAAACAAAAATACATGTATACAGGTATGCAAATATTAGAGAACTATGCATTATATATACAGTATTCTTTTGATTCTATTTATTTCTACTTTTTACAGGAATTTCTAGCAGTTATATATGTGTACATATCACATACCATGCATGAGTTTCTTTCAGTATTAATATGCAAGTAAGTATATATGTGCGTATGTTATAAGCTTAAAGTATTGATAGGGGAACAGAATAGTTGAAGAAAAGCCATATTTTAATTGAGTGTGACATACCACAATAAAATAATAATTAATTATCAACCTCTCCCAGAAACTTGACTGTTGCCCAAATGTTGCCTGAAGTGATAGCTCACTAATAATGATGTATTCAAGACACCAGTGAAAAGTAACGTTTAACTATTCTAATGGATCTGAAATGAAAGTTAAGAGATCTTTGCTAATACACAAGTTCATTGCAAATAACTTTTTGGCATTTTAGAACTCTATAACAGACTTACTTTATTTTTGTCTTGTACAACCAACACTTTTCCAGTAGTGTTATCTAACACAGCACCTGTTGGAGGAAGAATATTTTCTTATAAATTGAGAAAGATAAAATAAGTGTCTGGGAAGTATTACAAAATGTTAGAATTCAAAGCTTTACATTTCCCCATGAGGAATGCAGCATAAATATTATGAGATTGAACTTGTACTGAGCTCAGATTTACCTGGGCTTGTTCCAAGATGTGATCTATAATCAGAAAATTGATTTGAACTACATGAAAAAATATTTATTGGTACAACAGCTAAAATGTCACAGCAGGGATATATGCTTCAATTTTAAGACACAGATTACAGCTGTAAATTAAAATAATAGACCAAATAGATACATAATATTTTCATAATATAGATATAATTTATATGTGCATTTATGATGAAGTATATTATCAAAATTTTGTGTACATGAGTGTACTGTATACACTTGTTTATTGATTCTTTTTTTATTTCATGGCTCATATTAGAAAACTTAGGAGATGCAAGATAAGCAAACATTTATCAAATAATCTAGCAATATATACCTGGAAGCCAGGTTCCTTCTTCATTAGGGCCCTCACCTAAAGTGCATGGACAGTCTACTGAAATGAGTATGACTAATCAGGGTAGATGAAATCCTGGTTTTGCTGTAATTAGTGACAAAACTTCTACTGATTCAAATGAGGCGCAGAATTGCCCCCTTTTAATAAGGGTATTTTCAGACTAGTAAACATATAGAAATGACAACTGCTTAGCCTGAGCACTTACAAGTCGATCCTCCTGATATTAAAACTGTTTTACCTGTTTGCTTCTATATAGTTCCACCTGCTGATATATTTATATTGTGCTATTCATATGCCTTACAATTCTTGATAAACAGTGGGCAGTATTTTAGTCAATGTGCCTTTCAAAGCACACCGCTCTCAAGTGACACAGGGCAATCTTTTCATTCAGTAAAGGTAAGTCAGAGTCTGCTCAATTAAGCTTTGCAAACTATCCTATTGCCTGCTGTCATCCTATTGCTTTCTTCCGTGTACTATACATTTCCTTAATTTTCTCAAAACCCTATGTTTTTCATATGCAGGAATCCTGTCATATGTTGTAGTTATTCTTTAAAAATGTCTTCCTTACAAAAATATGCATTTTAATAATCCAGCCAGCTTTTTGACAGATTTTAGATTTATGCTCTGTGGTGAGCACGAGTGGGTACATTTCTCATGTCTTTTTCCATATCAGTGGTGTGCTGGTTTAAAATTTGGTGGATAATTATAGAGAAACTTTCCTATCAGTTTCTAGCAAAGGGAAACCTATGTGGATAGAACTATGATACACACATCTAGAATACCATGGACAAATGTTCCCATATAAGGAAATTATTAAGGAATGAGTGTCTAGATTGAAAACATCCTTTTCTGCTTAATAATGTGATGGTAGTTTGATGTGTAGGAGGAATACTTAAAAGATGAAACAGCAACCCTGAAGTCAAGCTCCATTAAAGGACATGCTTTAGGGAATTAGTCATATATCTGCTTCCCCATGACAAGTGGCTTGCATGACCTCCCCTACTCTGTAACTGTTTAGCTGGGTACTGGTGAGTGTGGAATCACACTTGGGAGACCAAACCTGCCTCTCCCCCCCCAAGCTGGAATCAACATTTTACACTGATTAAAGGAGTTATTTTCTAGAAAAGCTTATCTTTACATGGCTGTTGGAGCTGGCAAAAGACTGTCTGGATTAACTAGAAAAGTTCTGTTTTTTCTCAATAAGCTCATGTCTGTAAATACATTTTTTAATCAGTGTAGTTTCGTGTGAGGTGCTTAAAACCTGTGAGAGGTTCTGGTTGTATCTGGTTGTATCAAAAGCAGGAAGAAATGGGGAAATATATATAAAAAACTGGTTTATTTCAGTATAAATCAACAGTAAGTCTATTGAAGCCTGCTGTTACACTGGTATACTGTCAGCATGAGTGAGATCAGAATCCAGCCCTGGTATCTGATCCTGTGGTTTTAAGAGTTTAGTTCTTGGGATTTGAAATTGATGTTTAGAACTTTAAAAGATTAATAGCCCCCTCTCCCCCCGGTGACTCTTAGGCAAAGTTTAAACCTTTAGCCTGCCAAGGAAACAGCTATGAGATTGTTATTGTATGCAAGCATTAATGTCAAGAGAACTTTCTCTGACTTAGCTGTCGTAAAAAAAAAAAAAGAGAAAAAAGAAAAGTACAGCAATATATATGTGTGGTGATATATATAACAAAAAAAATTTGGCTCCTTCCCTTGCACTCTTCCTCTTTCAGGTAGAAGATGGGGACTGGACACTAGCTCAAGGGGCTTCTTCCAGTCCATGAGAGAACATTCATGTAACAGTGGGTAACAGAGCAATCTATCCTGTTAAGTGGGGTCAGCCCTGTTAAAGAAATCCAGCTGTGGGGCATTTGGATGCACATTTGGGAATGTCTTTAAAAGCTGTATAAGCTTCCAGAAGTGTAAGCAAGAGATGAAAGGAACAGTTTGCTGCAAGGAGGGGCCAGAACAAAAGAGGTTTCATTCCTAGTGTGTGGGACAGGACGGCAGGATTTTGTTTTGTTTGTTTAAAAGAATGAACTTTAGCTTTACAGTACGGGTCAGCAACCTATGGCTGGTGGACTAGATCTGCCTTGCAGAGCCTTTTGACACAGGGCTTTGGTAGCCATCACTTCCCCCATGCCAGTGCAGGGAAAAGTAGTGGCAGTGGAAAAGTAGTGGCAGTGGGTGCCTTCCCTGCGGAAAAGCAGCAGGACAGGGAAAAGCGGTGGTGGCAGGTGCTTTCCCTATGCTGCTGTACAGGGAAGTGGCAGCAACAGGGGCTTTCTTTGTGTTGTTGGTAAAGAAAGGCAGCAACAGTGGCTGGGTCCTAGTCCCCTCTTCCCTGTTCTTGGCCTGAATTGGGTCAATCTGGCCTGCAGTCTTAAAAGGTTGCTGACCACTGCTTTAGAGGGCTGTATGAGCTGAATTCCCCCGCAAAGATAGGTTAAGAAACTTGCTTACAAGTTGTTAGTTACAGTACTTTCTGAACTACAGGAAGGTGCTGAGATGCTATGGGGGTGAGCATAATATAGGAATCTATGCAGAACAGAATAGTACTGTTACTACCTCACCTAAATAAATCTGTTGATTTACATTATCAAATGTTTTCCTGATCTTTTGAATAAAAAAAAATAATCCAACTTACTAATAAAACAAGTATCAATCTAATTCAAAAGCAGTAGCAGGAAATATAATAGATATTATCGGGTTATTTGTATTATGCAATATAGTTTTTAATTAATATGCCAACATTTCTGAAATTATTTAACCTCCTCTGCCCTTCCAGGCAATTCCTATTTATATAAAATACAACCAAAATAGTCATTTGACAAAAAGTCAAATGATACCACCATTTAAGAGTTTATCCCTATTTATATAAACATTTTTCTTTAAATATTTTAACATCGCACTTTGAGTTACATGAATGTTACTTCAGAAAAATCCCCTTTCAATTAGTTTATTTTTCTCAAATATGTAAATTGTAACCATAAGGAGCAATATTGTACTTCTGCAAAGGGAATGCATTGTCTGACCCCAGTTTAATGCCACATATTTTAAAGATGAGGTTTTCATACCTCAGGAAAACATGCTCGAACATGTCCTTTGAAAAAAACCCAAGACTCATCTTAAGCATTTTATCTGGGCTGCCCTCTGCTGATTTTTACTGCAACTTGCAACTAGCAACTCAATTTGCAATGCTGATACACAATGTATATTAGATAAAAATAGGTTTTTTAAAGACTGTTTTCTTAATATAGGCAAATGAACCTATGATTGTGTAGTGTCTTTTACCTCTTGTGAGTACTTCTTAAATAGAATTTGCATTTAACTATTTATAGTGTCTCTAAATCATATGGTAATGAGCTAACTTACCCCAAAGCCCAACCCCATATGGTAATTTGGGGTCCTGCACTTTAGGAACTTTATGCATATGGTAATTTGTTCTTCTGTCATGTAGTAATTTATGATACTACATGTTATATTGGTTTTACTGTTTAAGGGTTTTTACTGCATGCATATGTTGAGTTAATTCTATCTCAAACAGGAAGGAAGGGAAGACAAGAGCTCAGATAGCCTCTCAGCCAGCACCCAAGGCTACTAACTTTAACGCGGCTCACCATTGGACTCTGGATGAGCCACCCAAGCCAGCATATCCAGGCTTGGAAGTTGTAGGAGAGCAATAGGATTTGGGACTGGATTTAAAGACACATTTTTAGGGACAGCTAAAGTAAACCCTGCCACTAAGGAATCTGGAGGAAGTTAGAGTGGCTGCTCATATCCCCAGATGGCAAATGTGAGTAGCCAGAGGAATGTTAAAACAGCCTTTGCATTACTGTAACTTATGCTGGCATCTGTAAAGTTAAGATGGACATGAAAGTAGGACTTGTCACTGGTCACAAGCTTCTAAATAGAAAACCTGAACCAAGGTCATACAAGTTTAAACCATAAGGTACTGTAGCTCAGGACCTGGCCTAAGAGTAGAACTGTAGCTTTCAACACCAGGAACATAAAGGCATGAGGCCTGAGATGTAGAGGGCACACTCATGGAGACCACCAGGGGCTAGAAGTGAAGCTAGTCCTATTACCTTGAAAGATATTTTATCATGAAGTTTGGATGTAGGGAAGAAAAGGAAAGGAATCTCCTAATACCCAGCAAGTGGAACATGCTTGCAACAAGCTTTGATTGAAGCAGGTCAGCCCCTCTCCTGTACCTAATCACAAACTTGTGAAATCCAGGCATAGGGAGACAGCTGTAAAGACTAAATTTACTGTATGTTTCTAGTGCTGCCAATTTTCACAATTTTATTATTATAAGTCCTTGTAAAATATGCTAGTTTGTTTGTGGTGGGTTTTTTAAAAATACTTTTGTTCCCAGAGTCAAATGATTATATGATCTTTGTTTTCTTTAAAAATGTTAGCTCCCATGGTTATGAAGAAAGACTTGAAAACACAACCCCTGAAGTCTCAGAAAAATGCATTTACTGAAAAAAAAATCTTATGATTTTCTAGGGCCTGAATCATGGCATTTGGACATGTGGTATTAGTAACACTACATCCCTAAATAATGACTTCAACTGCTGGAGAGGGAGGAGACAAAAACAACCCCTAGTTTATGTGGCTGAACAATGGGATGGGATGATAGTGCTGTTGAGAGCGATGAATGAAGAAAGTGGAGATGATCTGAAAGAAAAGTTAAAAAGTTCAGATTGGCCAGCGCTAGTCCCTTTGTACAAATTTGATGGTGCAAATGTTCTGAAATACTATCATAATCAGTAAGGGTGTGTGAAACAGGGTGTATTTGATTCGGATTTGGCCTGAATTAGGGACAGTGATTCAATTTGTTGATTCGGATCACTGTCCCCGATTCAATTTGGCCAAATCCAAATCTGAAGATTTGATGCTGATTCAGAGAATCAGAGATTCAGCCATAGACACAGCTTTAAATGTTTTTTTCTACAAACCTCGAGGTACCAGGCATGACTCATGAACGCTGCGATGCTGGGGCGGATGGAGTGTCCCACATGCTCAGAGGTGAACCCAGAAGTGGACTGGAAGTACTTTCGGTCCACTTCCTGGTCTGCCGGGGAGTGCACTGGAGGGCTCCCCTGCACCCCCCATGCTCGACGATCAGCCACAGGGGACCCTGGGTGCCCCCACCAGTCACTGAGTCGGGGGGGGGGGGGGCCCCCCCCCACCACACTCCCCAGCGGACCCAGAAGTAGAATGGAAGTGCTTCTGGTCCACTTCTGGGTCTGCTGCTGACTGCATTGGGGAGCCCCCCATGCTCCTGTGGGATGGTCCATCCGTCCCAGCATCTCAGCGTTCACGATCTGCCTGCTACCTTGAGGTATGTAGAAAAATCATTTTTAAGCTGTGTCTATGTCCGAATCATCGAATCCTTCCGAATATCTCTGAGTCGATTTGGAGGGTTCCGATTTGATTCGGAGAGATTAAAGGGTCTCCTGATTCAATTCGGATTTGGAGATGCGGTCCAATTCTCCACCAAATCGAATCAGGGACCGAAGCTTCACACAGTCCTAATGATCAGCTATCTGGGAATTCCCTGGACATATGGAGAATCTCCACATCAGCTGTGGGCATGGGAGGCATTACTGAGTAAAGGTGTTGCCAGGGAGACTGAAGTTTAGCTATTCCTTGATGACAGCGTAGCCTCTTCCAGCTGTAGGCAGCCATGAGAATGTTAAAGCAATCTTTGCATTGTTCTTAGCTGGCAGCTGAAATGAAGCCTGGATAATACTGGGTGGTTTAAATGTACTTTTGCCCTTACCATCTAGATCCAAACCTGTGTAGTTTTCATGGACATAACACTAGAGTCCATAGGGCCCTTAGCATTTGCATTTACATATTTGGCACTATAAGAAAGTCCCATATTTCTTCTTTTTTTCTGAAAATATGCAATTTGTTGTATTTTTAAAATATGGTTATGGACCCCCTAAAAGATGATCTCTCCCAGAGGACATTTCTTGCCCTGGCACACCGAATGCCATGAAGTTCCTTTTAAAAAATAGTTTTTCTGCAAGGTGAGATTTTAAACCTTCAGGAGGACTGTATTGTCTCTTCCCTTCCAAAGTGTTTATAATTTTAAAACATTTTTAAACAGACAAGTCAACTTACTAGTTGCTTTCATCATTCCAACCTAACACACCCAGTTTGTTGTGTAGGAATACTCATGAATGAAAGACGTCCCTTTATCAGGATGTCCAACTGCTAAACAAGTAATTTCCCCATGCCTGCCTAGTATAGAAACCCAGCTGATTTACTGCTCAATCTGATCCTAAACTATCAAACATATTTCATGAATACAGTTAATTCTAGAACTAACCTGCAACTCCTAATTGATGTGTGGCATACCCTGGTAACCTGCTGTTCCCATCTCCTAGCCACAGCGTCAGTGTGGATGAGTCTCCTTCTGCATGGTGAAAAGTAAAGCCCTGTGATGCAGCAGTGGCAATAAAACTGCTTTGAAGGACAGGAATGTGCAGCCACACAGCTATTTTGCCTTCCCTCTTCCATTGCTTGATTGAATCTGAAAGAAAGAGTAACAGAAAGCTCCTCAGATGTTTTCAAAGACATGTGGGCATGAAAATAAAAACTGCAGTCATTTGATAGTCTCTCCTTCCTTTTATTTTTACTATATTTTTACTTCCATTGTACAGACGAACATAGCTTAATGTGCAATAACAGCATCAGTCAGAAAAATGACTGTAAAATAATAGTGTGACACAGTCCATTATTCTGCTTCAGAGTCTGGTTTGTAAAAATCTTAAATCTGCCTTTACTGAAGGGGGAAATAACTGCAGATATAAAGAATGGGCACAAATAATTGTAAATCCAATAAGTAAACAAGACCCTTAATTTGTACTGTATACAATTGTGTTTACAAATCAAAAATACGGCTTTCCCCCACAATATTACTCATGCAAACTCTGTCAAGGATCTGGCAATTGTTTGCACCTCGCATAAGGTTGTTTTTAAAAAAAATATTTTCCCACTGATTTTGTTGAACATATGTGATAGAGAACACAGCTTGCTGTTCTGCACAGCTGCATGAGATTTGCAGTGGATATATTTTTGTCAGAGAACTCAGGCCCTTTTGAAGTGCCTATTGCATTTATGCGGCCCTTATTATCAAGGTATTTGAGCACGTTAAAATCTTTATAATATTTATTTCCACAGCACTACTGTGAGGTATGGAAATCATATTATTTAAATTGTAGAGTTGGAAAACTGGGGCTAAGAGGCCTCAGGACACAGAAGACTCTGGCAAAGGAGGGATTCAGTCTCATGTCCCTAACACTATGTCTGCAAGGCAGTGCAGATACACCAAAGCCAGCTCTGCACATGCTGGCTCCAGAACCAGAAGCAGCCCTAGCACATGCTAATCAACTATTGAGAAGCAAAGCAACACAGCTCTTCTAGTTGCTTCTGCCTGCTTCTAGTTTTAGGGCTCATGCTCAGAGAAGATTCTGAGCATTGTCCCATACTTTCTCCTTCGGAAGTACTTATGGTAGTAAAGGTAAGTACGTGCACAGGTATTGGCTGAGTTCTGTACAGAGTCAAATAATAAGCAGAATAATAAACTACCATACTTGCAGCTAATTTTCTGAATACAGACACAATCCAAGATTTAATTTCAAATAATTGTCTTCCACAAACATTTTGGGTAAACATAGTGAAAGTGCACATTCTGCATTTCGCATGGGATCACCCTTTTTTTTTGCCTACAGTAATGGATTTAGATGTTGTGCCATTCTGTAATTGCCAGGAAAGATCATAGATTTGAATTAGTAGGCTAAGTAAGTGCATTTCAGGCTAAAGAATGACAGGTGGATATGTAAATAGAGGGGGGACAAGGATGTTTCAAGCAGTTATAAAACAGACTAAAGAGATGCTATCAGGCTTATAATAGTACTTATAGAGTACATTTACATGTTGCCCTGTGGTGATGTAGTGACATGCCATATTGCTGTACGGTAATGCTAGAGATCATGTGTCTATGCATGATTGCCAGCTATGTTGCCATAGCGGTGCACTCTCTGGGTAGTGTGCCACTATGGCAATGTACCAGCAAAATTTACCTGCGCGCCATGCGCATGGCACAGTACATGCCTCCACTACGCCGTGCTTTAGTGCTTCCCTGGTGTGTCATGGCATGGCTGATCTGCTTCATTGGGCAAAATGTCTGTTGCCCCTTGTCCAGCCTGTTGATGGTGTGGGACAAGGGGTGATGTGGGCAGTTTTGGATAAGCAGGGTCTGTTTTCCCACTCACCCACATCTCTCCTGTAGATCCCAGGAATGAGTGTGGGGGAGCAAGGAAAGCCTGTTTTCCCCTCCCAGGATCTCCAGGGAAGGGGTAAGCAGCGAGCCCTGACTTTCCTTCTAGAAGTGCCCTGAGATACCCCAGTCTGCTTATGAGTGGGGGAAAGCCTAGCAGGTGATCGAGGCACCTGCCTGGGGTTGGCTGGAGAGCACGGGCAGCTCCTGTGGGTGTCCCTGTTCTCTTTCCCCACATAGAGTCATAGAAAATGTGGGTTGAAAGTGACCTCAGGAGGTCACCTGGTCCAACCTTCTGCTCAAAACAGGACCCTGCCCAACTCTTCTCATCCCAGCCAAGGCTTTGTCTACCTGGGCCTTAAAAGCCTCTATGGCTGGAGACTCTACCTCATGTTCCTGGAGCCCCGCTCCCCTGGCAAGCAGAAAGAGCAGGATTGGGTCTGAATTTATTATTATTATTATTAATATATTTCTTGTTCCAGACCAAATCAGCTAAATCATATCAGTTGACCTGAACTCAACTGTTCCAAACACCAGACGGACCGAGCAGGTGGGGCTCAATCATTCTAGACACCAGTGTTTGGCGCCGCTACTGGCGAGCATCCTCTGCCCCCCGCAACACCAGATACTTCCACATGCCCTGGCAGGTGTCCTAGGTGCAGGCCCAACCCCGGAGATCTGCGGATTCAGATGCCCCTAGAAACCAGAGGCCGAGCCAAAACCTAAGGTCTGAATCTCGGATCCCAAATTGCCCCTCGTGCCACAGGGCAGGAGGTGCCATCCTTGGGGTTGGTGGGCCCCAAGCCACAGCCTGCGGGCGCCCCCACCACGAGAGCGGGGCCTGGCCGGCGGTAGGAGAGGCCCCGCGGCCCCGGCGG